CATGTGGGGTATTTGATCATCAATTGCATCCCCACCCTGGGGATTTTGATCAGCATTTTGGCCCCAAGTTGGGGCAATTTGAACCAATTAACCTTTATTAATATAGTATTTATTGCAATTTATTGCAAAATAGTGGGGCATTTGACCGATATTTATTGCCCGACGGTGGGGCATTTGATTGAAAATTTGCTCAAAAAGTCAAATGCCCCACCTATGCCCGACCCCCCCCTCTGGGGCTTAACATTGATAGGTGCATTACCTGTCACAGACAAATAACGTCTTCCATGGTTTTGGTTTGGTTTAAAGCCTAGTTTCCATTTGGTTGTTAGTTGTCGCTGGCACGACAAGTGGCTGATGTAATAGAGTGCCAACAAAACTTTACAAAACTCTGCAATCATTAAGACTGATTTGCATATAACACACACAAAGATTATTATGATATTAGACTATTTCACATATACTGCCTGTTGTACCAGCGACAATTAACGACCAAATGGAATCTAGGCTTAAGAGTTCAGCAGGCTGAACAATGCATATTAATGTATTCGAGAATGGTTTCTGTTACATTATATACTGGTATAAATAAGCACTTTATATGATTAGTATTTCATAGCCTTTGAATACAGATCTGAAACAAGTTGTTCATAAGATGAAATTTTTATTGGATGGATAACATATGTTGTGTAAACTAACTGTGTTATTTGTTGATAAACTTTGTTTTCTATTATCTTCATACAGGTCAATGAGATCAGGCATGAGTTGCTTACACTATTCACAAAGGCTGTTTCTGTTGAGTGTTCTTCTATGACATCACTAAATAACCCAACTATCCTCAAAGATGTAACAACGGAAGGGATTAGATCACTTACTATAACAAAAATCATTAAGGAATTGAAGGAGAGAACTCCAATTCTGTATTCTACATTGGTATCAAGTGCTGTGTCAACAAGAAGTAAGAGAGGGGATGCTGATATAATACCTGGTGTTGCTGTTGCAGCATCAATATTACTTAAAGAAAGATGCCGAAGAGCTACTGGTCTCCAACTGATGATTACAACTATCATAAAATATTCTGGATTCAATGTAAGTGTCAATATTTATAAGTATTTAATTTAAGCAACTAGTATGTAAATATATACCATATGGTACTTTACTATTATTTTCCACAAATTGGTTACAAATTTTTTTGTAACCATGACACAACCAATTACTTCAGTCTTGAGAACAACAGCTACTAAACCACTGGTAATAAATAATGCATTTGTTTTCTTTTTTCTACTGCAGTCGATGTGTGCATTCCTTTCTGCCTTGCGAATTGGTGTTTCTGCATCTTATTTCAACAAAAAATGTGACGAGTTTGGTTCTAGCTATAATGAAAGGCTACTGGCAGATAAAAGTAAAGAGGAACAGGCCCTGAGGAGACATTATTATGAAGACATTGGAAATGGTGATTTTGGACCTGGTTGGAAAATAGTTTTTGATAATTTTGATATGTATCAAAGAGTTCACGATATGACTGAAGATAATCAAAACAAAGATATTCATTGGGTGAATCATGTCAAAGTTTCAAACAGAGTTTCTGGGAATGAGTTACCAGATGATAAACCAATCAAGAATTGTCTTTCTGATCTTGACAACTCTAAAGTTGCACCATCTGCAATAGAACATATCTGTCAACGTGCAAACTATGTAAATCTTGTTTCAAGGGTATTGGTGGAAGAAATTCCATGTTTGCAGTTCTGTAAAGACAGCATTTTATACCATATTCCTCATAAGCATTCACTTGAGGCTGCAACAAAATCAGAAAAGGTAAATATCCATGCCACAGTGTCAGACTGTTACTTTACAATAGGTTGAAATTACTGTCACAAAATACTTGCATGTAATAAAACTGGCAAAAAAATATATGATGCATGACAAGACAAATAATTCATTCCATTTATAATAGATACATTTTAACTACACTTCAGTCATTAGTGCATGAACAATCAAAAGTAGACCATCAATTAGTAGACCATCAAAATTTGTTAAAAGTGAAATATAAATGATATATTTGTTAATTTATTGTCTGTAAAAACCAGTTAATCATTTTTGAATTATATGAGTATAATTTTCTAAAATTAGTTTACGTCAAAGGGAAATTTGTGTTATGAGTATTATAGTCATGTACACAGCAGCCATGCTAAGAGGTCCAGATATTAATTTCCTTCTGCATCTTCAGTGGGACTAACTGGGATATGAATAATCTTTCTCTTTTATACTTAGAAGTGCCTGGGAATTATTCAGGAAAATGAAAATACAACCGAAGGAATGCTTGAAACCCTGAAGTCAATGCATTCTTATGTTCCACGTTGGACTTCAAAAGAAAATATAACCCATTTTACAGACATTGGGCATGTTGGGGACCAACTTACAGTTGAAAGATCAGTTAATTGTCTTATGGCAGTATCAAATGGGTTTACTGCCACTGAAAGGCTTGAAGGCATTTATTTTGAGATCGCAGATTGGCATGCAGACTTAAAATTCCTAGATGTATAGTACATCTAATTTTCTTACACAAATTATCAAATGAATTGTTCATCTGGGGGCAATGCAGTTTTAAATATTGGGAGTGGCTAAATTATAAATTCTCCAACTTTGTATTTCGCCCTAATGTAAAAAAAATTCCATCGTGAAACACCCCCCCCCCCTCCCAATTATTATACATAACAAGTTTACATGGGTGCAGGGAGGGGGGGAGGGAAGGGGAGCAGGGAAGGGGAGCAGGGATGGGGAGCAGGGACAGGGAGAAGGAAGGGGGGGGGCAGAGAGGGGGTCAAATTGCCATGGGTCCCAACTTGAAAGAGAGAGCCTAAAATTGAGTAGGTTCGTTAAATTTGTCAGTCTGTAGCTAAGGTATATAGTTGGGTGAATGACTTGGGTAGAAATAATGATGTCACGGGGCCCCAGAGAAGATTTCCCAGGCCCTGTGGATTCTCTCAGCAGCCCTGTGTGTTTCATTATGACTGTCTTGTAAATAATGTTCTGCTCCTTATTCTATGACTTATATACTATTGATTATTTTTAATCTCTTTTTATAGTTGATATACAAGCGGTTCTATTCCACTTCATCTGCCAACGATATATGCACACTTTTTGCTGAAAGAAATCTAATTAACAGGAGAAATGTCAAGACTGATACCCATCATTCTTATGCTGCAAACAAACAAATGTTACTGTTGGCTATACGATCTCGTATTGTCGTTGCTGCCATGAAAGTTCTGGGATTGGAAACACTTGATGGAAATATGACAACATTCCATTTTCCGAAGAACAAACCAAAGAACAATTCGAACAAGCAAAGATACATCAAACAGATTGCTGCTGTAATTGTTGATGAATTTGTTATAGACAAGGAAACCAATAATTCTATTATCAACTATGTCCTAGATGAAAGAGACAAAGAACAGTTATTAAAGAACTGTACGACAGTAGATGGCCGTTTTTGTTGCAGACATCCTGGTTGTTCCAAGACATTCAAGTAATAATTATATATTTTCCTGGGTGTACTTAACCCATTGAGCCGCAATGCACCCTCCTTTTTTTTACTTGCCTAATGCGATGCGATGTTACTCGTCAATTGGGAAGCTCTGCAGGTTAATGGGTTAAATATAGTATGGTGTTGTGCATGATAAGTGCTTACCAACCCATAATAGAACAATGTACATTTCCAAAATTTAAGGCAAACGATTGTACTAGGGTGGGTAAATTCTTCACAAATATGCTATGGTTGATAAGGTAGTATGCAAAGGGCATTCGCTTAAAACGTTCAAAGTTCTCATTATATTCTTGGAGTATGTAGGTACCTTTACTGCCAATTGCTAGCCCATATTATTTTAATGTCACAACATAGATACAATGGCAAACACAGACAAAATCACGAGGTACAGTCTCATGATTTGGTAATAGAAGAACCAGAACCAAGAAGATATTCAAGAACTACTGAAGTTTCAATGCCAATGGACACAGATGTTCTTCAAGATGACATATACAATTATCAGTGTAACTTTTTGCAACACAGGCTGCTGTATATGAATTTCATTGACTCAATATCAGAAGGTGATGGGGATAGAATCATGTTGTGCTGGAAATTTCTTCTCTTAAATTTTTATGCTGACAAAGGAAGCACAAAGTATGCTCTGGAAGCATTGTTCTTACAGTTTCAGCAACATGCTCTGTTGACGCCAAGGCAAGCTTACAGACAGAGATGGAACAGAGGTAACAACAAGGGGGATAAAGGTAAAAATGTACCTCTTGACCTTGAAATTGAACATAACAACAATATGTTGAAGGAAGCTGTAAGAAAGATGCGATCAAATGTATCTTTTAATGCTGTTAACCGGGCGGCAAAAATGGTGAAAATCGCCGCTGAAACTGTTGACAAAGTTGCTCATGAATGTGAAATAATGAAGCGATCATGGAAACATTTTACGAAATGCACCAAAAGTGATTTGGAAAAGGTTGTACAAGTGTTGCTTAAACAGGATGCGTTAGTTGAAATACCTGGTAGAAGTTACCGACATTTTGAAAATTTCAAGAGATCTCATGTAATTGATAAGTTAAGTGGGTTATGTAAATGGATAAACAAGCACAAGCATGGAATGGAAATGCATTCGAAGGCTAGATAATCGTTTCGTGACATAATGCATATTAGAAACAATTGTATGGATAACAAACTTTATGTACTGTACCTGTATGTCCCTTTGCTATTTAGTGGAATAGGTGATTATTAGATAATTAGATTTTATTGTTTAATAATTTTTATTGCTGTTTATGGTTTGTTTATACAGTACTGTACGTGACATTCACACTCAAAACTTATATAAATATATATACACACCAGACAATTGAAATGGTGACCCCTAGTACAGGGTAGATGTATTATTGAGACTTTGCTGTAGCGACATAAAGAGTCATATAGCCAATCAGAGAAACGTCGACTCATTTTATCATTTAATTGTTTATTGATTAAATGATCTACATGCATGTATCTGCCGAACGTACTTGTGCGTACAACTATACTACATTTGATTACCTGATAAAGCCATAATTTAACACTAGATTCTACTAAATGGCACTTTCATCCACCAAAGAATCTTGCTCATAGTTTAAGGAAAAAGACTCCAGTGCCCATTCAGTTTCATTAAGCAATTCCAAAAATGATGGATCATCCACAATTTCAGAAATCTCTTCATTGGGACTATCTTCATCAGACTCTTCTTCTTCAATGCATTGTACAGGTACATCAATATCTGCAAACACTTTCAAGTACATCATTAGCATGTGTTTTTTTCCAAATATCTACGCTTTCCATTATGTCATCCACAGTAAATATTGTGTCTGCATGATTTAAGATCTGATCTATATGATCTTTTCCAAATTCCAACAAAACATTGGGGTAACACACAGTAATAGCAGTGTTATTTTCATCACTAACAACCGCTTTCATGAGTAACTTTTTTTGTAGTAGTTTTCTTTCTGTTCTTCTGACACTTTTCGACTTTGTTGATTTTTGTGAAAACATTTCTTTATCACATGGCATGTGTAGATCAATATTACAGTATCCATCTTGACATTCGCAATTTAATGCACATACATCACAACATTCGTGCCCAGTTGGTAGTTTTGATGGTAACTTTGCGTCAAAATATTGCGAAAGCAGCTTTCGCCTACAAGATTCAGATTTAACATAATCCTTCATCTTTGCATCGGCAACTTTCAACATCACACCATTAAATAACAATAAAGCAATACTGCTCTCACCTGCCCTACCACTGCGGCCGCTTTCCTGTATATAGGCTTGAATTGATTTTGATGGGACAAAGTGAATAACTCTGGTCACACCCTGACAATTAACCCCCATGCCATATGCAATGGTAGCAATGAGAATTCTTAAATGTGAAAATTCAGATGAAAATTGTTTCATTACATGTTCCTTTACACTGTTTGGTGTTCCAGAATGTATCATTTCAATAAAACGACACATTGGATTGACGTTCATGTCCAGATAAAATGACTTGTCTAATTCCTTTTCAAACATTTTGTATAATAGTGAACATTGTTTAATTGTTTGACAATATATAATAGTTCTTCTTGAATTTTTTCCTTTTTGACGGATTTCTTCAATGACACATCGAAACTGCTCAGCAAGAGAGAGATGCTTATCAAGAGATTGAACACAATAAGAAATGTTATTCCTATTAGGACTTTCTATAATTTCCACAGGGCATTTCAACTCTAATAGTTCAAAAATCCTTTCCTTTGTTGTTTTCGTAGCAGTAGCAGTAAGTGCCATAAATGGCACATCTGTCAATGATCTTGCTTCATTGATTTTACTATACCATTTACGAAATACATTTCTTTTATCGCTTGATGAGGAAATACCCCATTCTGTCATGCAGTGTACCTCGTCTATAACAATACCCACTAGTTTGTCTTGATAGATTTTAGACGAAAGCATATTTCGCCATCTTTCATTTGAAAGAGCAGATTCTGGAGACAGGAAAATGTAAGTATACAATCCTAATTCGATATCTTTAAGAGTACTCTCACTCTGATCGCCACCTATATACGCAGCCTTTAGTCCACAGTTTGTCAATATCTTGACTTGATCCTGCATTAATGCCAAGAGTGGGCAAATGATAACTATTATAGCATCCTGTTTAAATCGTTTCGAAATACCTCTGTTTTGTTCAAACATCCATTCATGAACAAGAGGGATCAGGTGAAATATAACAGATTTCCCAGAACCAGTAGGCAAACTCACATATACTTCTCTTCCCGAAATAAACGAGTACAAAGCTTCAAACTGTTTTTCTTTTAAATATTTAATGCCAAATGAGGGAAGCAGAGAGTCGACACACTTGTGAAGTTGTTCACGCGTTATTTCATTACATTCCGCCATTTTAGATTTTATTATTTTATGTTTTGTTTATATGCATAATTATCTATTAGCCAATCAACAGCAGTGTCCATATTTTGCACACTGGCTACGTCATCGGTATGGAATTTTCACAGTTAAATCGCAGACGTCTCCCTCGGGCAGTACATTTCGCCCGATGTGAGGCGTCTGTATTCGCAGGCTAATTTGTAACGAACTTCTGAACTTTCGTAATGAACTTCGGAACTTTGTTTTGAAAAGCTACCTGAAATCGACAATAAAGTATGTTGATATAAAACTTATGCACCTATCAATGTTAAGCCCCAGGAAGGGGGGGAGGTCGGGCATATGTGGGGCATTTGATCAATTTTTGTTTCCCCTCCCTTGGGAATTTGACCGACATTTTTCTCCCTAGGATGGGGATATTTGAATTGAGCGTATGCAATAAATTAGCGTTTAGTACCCATATTTTGTGCTCAACAGTGGGGCATTTGATCACATTTGACTGATATTCGCTGCCCTATGCCCTATGGTAGGGAATTTGACCAACAAATTGCATGAAAAATCAAATGCCCCACATATGCCCAACCTCCTCCCCCCCCCTGGCTAAACATTGATAGGTGCATTATTTATACTAGCTACTGCCTACTCAGTACTGTACTGTAATTTGCACAGTCACGTAATATTTAAGCACTCAGCCATATTTATTTACATAGACTTACAGTTAGAGCAAGATGTTATTTACTAAACTACAGTTTATTTCTCTCAGTACACAAAAGATTATTTACCAAATAAGTGATATTAAGCATACTGTTTTATATTACCACAACAACCGAACAACGAGGATGTGGTTTTATACTAGCCCAACTCCATTACAAAAATCGAAATCTGTTCAAAAATACTTCACTTACCGTGATAAGGAGTCGATAAAACGCAACAAGAACGTCCATATATCAAATAATCCACACAAATATCTTTGGTTTTCATTTCTTTTCTTTTATATTTCGAAGCACAAGTCAGAAGACAATATTAAAATCTAAGAAAGTAACAAAATGGAGACTCGTTCCAGGCTTTTGCTCGGAAAACTGACCAGTTCAACCGAAAATCCGAACTCCACTCCAAAAGTGGCATTTGAAAAAAATTGTATAGTACTATTGTCTTCATTTAAACAGTCTAATAGTTTAGTTAACTTACCTTAAGTTCAAAAAAGACCACAAACCAAAATCTTTCTTTATCGGTAAAATAAACAAAATCCAGCTGCAGTTACAGTATTTTTCCTTTCTCTGAATTTGCTAGAAACTTATGTGACACAAAAACTGGCTTTGTAATTCGACAATAAAGAAATAATTTTTTTTCATGTTACAAAAAGGAGATTTTTTGTTACAAAAGGGAAGATTTCCTTCTTGTAACATGTGTTTTTATAAGAAAAAAATTAATTAAAAATAAACGATTTGTGGTAAAATGTTGAAACTTTGTACAGAACTTCTTTACTGCTGGGTGCAGCACCCTGCTAAATATAAAGCGATTTGGATGAAAAGCAACGATTTTACAAAAGTTTACAATGCAAGTTTTTTTTCACAGCAAATCAATGGTGATTTTTAGAGTACCAAGCCTTGTTCAGGTATAGCAACTCTACTGCGAAACATTTTCACTTCATAACTCTGAAACTACTTGTGGTGGATCGTCAAGGGTGTGACAGAATCGATAAGGATCGTTTCGACTGTCCACCCTTGCTGGATCCCAAGCAAAAACCTTAAAAATTGAGCGTTTACACCTCGATTTTCCTTTTTGTGACATTTGCATCGTTTTTCGTAAATATTATCTTCAGGAATTTACATAATTTCCCGTCTGACAGATATGATAAAAACTATCATAATAACTATGCTTCCATGAATTTTTGTCGAATTTTGAATAAAAAGGGAGGATTTAAAAATATGTTACAATAAGGAGGCAAGATTAATCTAAGAATGAACAAACGAACGAGCGAACGAATGAATGAATGAATGATTAAATGAATAAACGTATCAAAAACGTTTTTAAATTTCAAAATTTTGTGAATATTGATTGGTTAGTACTTTCGTAGGACGCCGAAAAGTTGACTTGCGACGAACTTTTTATTTTGATACGCGAATACACCCGGAAGTATGTGGATTTATAAACCTCTTTTCAATCTGCGCATGCTCACCAGTACGTTTCGCTACGATACGGGCGAAGTGGAAAACCGGCTTAAATGGATGAATGAATAAAGGAATTAAAAGAACGAAGAAAAGTGTCAATGAATGATTACAATTACTGCATAATTAATTAATGACAAATGAATAAATGATTCAGGACAACATGATTTTCCAACAAACCTCAAATATAACATACCTGGAAGCTTACTCCACTTTACTTTTCTACCTTCACCAACATCATACGACTTCCACACGGGAATTGCTCTTGCCATCTTTGTCAAATGAAAAATTATTCAAAGTGCTAATACCGTCCCATTTGCCCATGACCGAGATCTCACAATCTGCATCATCTACCAGTGCTACTCGTACTCCATGTATCCCACCATGAAGAGAGTATTGCATCCTTAACGCCTTCAGTAGTTGCCACATCATGTCCTTCGTTAATGTACCTTCTCACATGTCCTTTGACAGTGGCTGCTTTGCGGTCGCAGGCGCCTTTTCCTCCTTGAGGATCGCTGAAGTAGACCCTTTTGATGTGGATACTTGTGTGCTTAGATATCTCAGGACATGCACAAAGTAAGGCCACGCTGTGGTAACAACCAGCATTGTCTTGGCGAAAATAGGCAGTTGATATCTCGGGGTGCTCTAATTTCAAGGTTGCCAGAACATGTTCCATAATCCATATTACTGTGTCACTCTCTTGAGGGGAGTTCTTTACGATGTGGACTAAAGTCTGGTGTTGCAGGTTACCTTGGACTTTGCATACAACCACAGATATGTGCCATGAAATTCCCTGCTTTCCAAACCAGTCAGCTTGGGTTTCTCTGAACTTTTGCGGTAGGAATTTCATGGCCCAATCTTGAGTTATCAGTACAGAACTTTCATCTAGAAGTTCCAGGATATCAGTACGGGCTTTGTCTTGCTGCACGGATCAAAGCAGATGAGACTTCCAGCTTTCAATGGCTTGAGCTGCCTGTTGGTAGCAATAAAGCAAATCATCGTCTTTGTCTGCCAAAATTTTGATCTGGTCTTTTAGTTCATTCAGGGTAGTTTTCAACTGCTCACAGGATTGGCAATACTTGTAATGGGGGTGATCACAAGGCTCTTGTAGCCCTTTTTCCTTGGAATCGCTTAGGGCTAATGAAAGGCAATGATCAGCTGTACTAGACATCTGAGCTACATGAACCTGAAATAAAAATGATAATACTTTGATTTCGAAAACCTCGGGTGTTGAGTGTTTGTAAACAGATCGTGTGCATAAGCATATGATCAGCGATAACTTTTTCATTTATAGCATTGCTAAGTATTTAATGGAGACTAGAGGAAAATCATTCGTCTAATAAGTTTGTAAAGACCAACATCAAATAACGTATACTCGAATAAGCGCTTCATCTGATTAAACGCTGCCCCTGAATATAAGCGCTGTATGGGTGCCACGAAAAATTTAATAAACGCCATGGCACTTATTCAAGTAAATACAATATGTATCATAATTTTACCTTAAAATCGGTTTTGAGGTATTGTTTTCCCTCCTTCAGTGCCTTTTGAAGTTTCTGACCATTGCAGGGATCAAGACCATAGTCGACGAGCTTGTCTGTGATTGTTGCAAGATCATCAAATCCTGTTCCACCTTCTGCAGATATATAATCTAATCCCTGAAGAGACTTTCTGAAAGACGCCGAACAAGATGTGAGGATATGGTTCATCGTCGAGGTACTAAATGGTTTAAAATCAGTCTCCTCACAGTATTGAACATACTGTGTGATGGTACGCTGTTTAATCATAGTCCATATAACATTGGGTGTTTCGATGACTTGACCATTTGACAACTGGAGATTGCACTGACCAAATGGAAGATCCTGTATGACGTGTCGGCTGGTGATAAACGTTAAGAAATGGTCTAGTTGTACTGGACTGACACGCATCCTAGCAGAACTTGTTTCCAGTATTGGTGCTCCGCGCTGTCTTGACTCGGTGTTTTGTAATCCCTGGTAGGTATTTTTGGAGTGTAGAGAAAGGAACTAGGTCCGCCATTATAGAGAGAATCTGTTGACAAGTATCCCAGCCAGTAGTGTGCTCATATGTCTCCGCTAGTGCTTGGAGGTAGATCTTTTCCGTGTTGTCCAGCTCATAGATTTCTAGTAATTTATCCACGATTTTTTATCTTTTTGTGGCCTCCCATAGAGCTCCTGCATTGCCAGGCGCAATAACTTCAAGTAGTGCAGCAACAGCCTCACTTGCCTTGGTAACATGGGTGTTTTGTGTACAAGGCTGCAGCTCACTAAACGTCTTTTTAGACTGTGTGATAGCGTCAATACCCGACACTACAAGAAAGTGGTTGAGAGCATTATGTTGAGTGGACATATCGCCAACAGTCACCTCAGACCCTGATGTCTCGCTGCTACTTTCGTTATTGGGCATATACAAACTGCACTCTTGCAGTGAAAGAACCAATGTTTCCATCTTTTTGCACAATATGCTTTCACTTGATATTTCCTAAAATCAGAATGACATTGTTTATTAATGTAAAGTAGAGTGTTATGAACAACAAAGTACACAGAAATGTTGACGATGTACCGAGGTGATGTAACTGGGTTATGTAACTATTAACTAAAGTTATATAACCCTCCCAAAGGGCTGGCACAGTAGAATGAATTTACCATTAACATTAACAATCAATAGGTAAATAATTCACTTTAATAAATAGGTAAGTAATGAATGAATGAATAAATGAAGGAATGAATGAATGATCAGATGAAAATTAACAAACCTGAACCTTTTTGTAACATGAAATGTTACAAAAAGGACTCTAAAACTCCTTTTTGTAACATGCAGTACTTTTGGTAACATAGAGTTTTACTTTTTGTAACATGGAGTGTTCCTTTTGGTAACATCTTGTCCTTTTCGTAATATTGAGCGTTCCTTTTGGTAACATTTCGTCCTTTTAGTAACATGGAGCGTTCCTTTTGGTAACATTATGTCCCTTTTGTAACATTGGGTGCTCTTGTTTATAACATTGTGTCCTTTTCGTAACGTGACATGTTTCAGCTATTACCTCCGCCAGGAGGTAATAACTATCTGTCTGTCTGTCTGTTTGTTTGTTTGTTTGTTTTTTGTTTGTTTGTTTGGTGGTCTGTAACCAGAATATCTCAAAAAGCAGTGAACAGATTTTCGCAAAAATTTGTTGAAGGAATACACATGTCACAGGGACAAACTGGTTAAATTTTGTTCAATTTGGATGAAGGATGGTTAACTATTTACAAAAATTTCCCTTGCTGCCCAAGCCGAAACTAGATGAACATAAATTGTATTTTAAGAAAATACAAAATATAAATTGTATAATTTATGCATGATATATGCTTAATTCGCTGGTGCATTTTTCGAGTGCCCTCTAGTTTGTAATGTTTATAGGACTTACAGAGATTAGTCAGTTGTGTAAAAGAGGGAGAGGGACACGGAGTGGGTGAGGGGTTAGCTGAGCCCCCTTCCGCAAGGTATGGGGGGAGGGGGCGAGCCCCCTACAATATTTTACAAGAGTGCTTACTTACACACCATCAAAAGCAATAATAGTGGTTAATTTTGCAACGTAATTTAGTAGACACTGACTCCAAAACTATAAGCTGGCCCTATAACCAAGCATCATTTACATTTATTCCAATAAAGATGAGGTATTGTTCATGCGTTGGGTGGGGGATGAGGTATTGTTCATGTCTTGGAAACATGCTTGTCCAGAGAGCCCATCCTCAGTTTATGAATTTATACAGTAGTTCTACAGCAGTGGATTTAACTACGACGGTATCACACAAGACAACTTTTAAAGTGTATATGACATAAAACTGTTTATGATTGCGTTTATATATTTTATTTTCTATGTTTCGTTATTTTACTAGTTTCCAATTATTAACAATGGAGCGCCCAGGAAATGTTCTACCTCATCGTTTGTATTTCGCAAAATCACTTGGACTAAGTAGCACGTATTTATTTCTCCTTCAGTGGTAATCATGTATTCCTTATACTAAATAATATTTCGTTTCATAACAACAGAAATGTAAAACCTTCTTTAATATCTCATTACACGTAAATGACGTCAATATGACATCACGTTGGTTGAAAATATCTCAACAACCAAACATGGAAATGAATGAAAATCTACAAAAGACGTTACAATAAAGTTCTTCATCTAAGACAATAAACAGTCCTTCAATAAGAGTCCTTTATCTAAGACAATAAACAGTGTTGTATCATATTCACTTTAAAAATCCGAATTACGTACGCGAAATGATTTGCGTTGCAAAGTTTCGTTGAACGCTAGCATCACTTTTAAATGCAGTGCTAAATTGTATTTTTGTGATTCAAACATTTAAATAATGAAAACCGTTAAAGTTATATTATGTATACCCACACTGTTTTCAATAAACTTTCACCAATAGCTTGTCAGGTTGCAAGCAATCCCTTGTGGCTAAAGAACGCTGTTGCATGGTAGGCAATTAGCTACATTGAGAATATTGCCATGTTGGCAATAGTTCCAATGTAATGTTCTTTTCTATCCCCATGAAATCTATGCCAACTGCATAGTTGAATTTTAATGTGGATGCACAATTGCATTACGCATTATGGTTCCTCTACTAAGAAACAATGAACACAACACACTCTGTTTGCAAATGTTAATAAATATATGTATTTTTATACATACGAACGTTAAAGAAGCAAAACAGCATTTTAATCGTGAAAATAATAATGTTTAACACTTAACATAATGCTCACAATATTAACAAATATAGTACCTTATTAAAAATAGATACACGAACACGTAAAGTATTTTTATCAATACCCCCATTTAATAAAGTCCTTTATAACTAAAGTACTGTATCAACCAACTCTGAGTAAAACATCCATCTTGACACTCAATATTTGAGAAAAGGGGAGAAATACAGTGAAACCTTAAATTACTTACAAACTCAACTTTAGTCTGTATAAAGTTAACTGATGAGGAATTAATATTGAAAATGAGAAAAAACTTGGATGTAGTTTTCATTTGTCCTTCTCAAATATTAGATCTAAAGATGAGTTGTTTGTAAGGTTATTTGTTTGGTTCAGTTACGGATTAATGGTCACGAAATAGTTTAGGTCAGGTTATACGACGTCTACTCCCAGTGGTACACGTTTTTGAAATATATACGTGCAAAACGTAAAGTACATAGCTTTATAAACCATAGCAATGTCTGCGCAACAATAAACTATATAACTTGAAATGATAAACTGTGAATTATCTTTCGTATTCTTGATAGTGAAAAACGTTTTATGAAACCGTTTATAGTTTTATCCCATATTAATAAATTTTCTTTTGTTTTGGACGTGCATGTTCTTATCCGTAATAACTATACAATCAGGTTACCATGTTCACTGAAGCAGAACACTTGGTTCTTATTAGCACGGTAGGTTATTATTACAAAAATAATAACCGGATTGTCTAACTGAAAATTTATTAAATCAGATAAAATGCATGAGCTTTTCGCCATTATTAAAAATAATAACCTCGTACCAAAAAGCCGATGCATTATCCTGTATACTGAGCATCTATTTATGTTTTTCAATTTGAGAAGTGACGAAATCCCTTTTGATAGGTTTTTTGTTGGCAATCAATTCCTTTAAAAGTTCTTGGAATAAAGCAATTTCTTTTGCAGTTAAAATCGTACTTTATCGAGTTGTTGTGGTTGTGGTAGATTCAGATACTGATAGTTGAATACTTGTTATACTTTGTGTCAATCGTGTGTACTCCATGACATTTTGTTGTTTTTTCCACTCCTTGTCTTATCGACTGATAACCCAAGCCTTTCGCAACGTTGATCCGAAGTCTCCAATTCTTTTGGCAAAACAGCAGTGTCCTCTTGAGTCTTGAAAAAGGACCGGACCTTGTTACGAATAACCATTAAAGGCATATCGGAGAGCAGTGGATATTTCTGTGAAATTTCTTTCACCTCATGTATGGAAATCGAACAGTTATTAATTTGTTTGGAAAATAGTTTTTTCAAAACTTGCTCCTCATCATCACTCCACTTATGCCTGGATGATTGCTGCGAAGTATGCATGATTTGGGTCACTTGTCTTGATGCGTTTATGGCAGATTTCGCTTGTCTTCTAAGCAAGTAATACTGGTCTGTTGTCGTCTTGTGGTGCTTCATAAGTGTAGCCAAGTCCTCGCGAATCTCGTCATTATACTCCTCAACAGCTGACACTACAGCTTTTCTAAATGCTGTCGCGCCGCCTGACGCTGCCTCTCTTCCAAATGTTTTTCCCCAACAGGAGTCGATTTGTCTACCAATATGTGACGAAGTCATGCCTTTCTGACTCCATGTCAAGAAGACTGGGGATGTATTAGTCGTATCTACATCACCTAGCGCGTTACGACATTTGGAAATAAAAATTTCCGTCCATTTGAAAAGTGACAGCGAGAAAACGATGTGAGCAGGACCGTGCGTGGCGAAAGTTTTGTTTTTTTCATGTTCACCAAATACTCCGAATCGTGGTGTTTGGCTGCTCTGAATTCTTCTAGAGTCATATTAGCTAAGGCGCCAGCCCTACTACCGTTGTTTATACACAGAATAGTTAGCAAGTAGTCACAAACTGTTGTGTACTGTGTATGACTTGGCATGACATGTTCTGGAGATTCTTCAAATTCGCCGAGTACCTTGACCGCTTCTCTAGCCACATCAGAAGTGTCGAACTGCTTGACTTGTTCGGGTGTACGTAAGTTAGAGATGTCTTCCATTCTTTTATCCCAAAAGCGAGTTTTCACCTGTTTTGCACACAACTTATTCCACATTTTCATTTGCTCACACAGGGTTTTGAAGATACTTGACGTACGGTCGATTTCCGGAATATCAACCTGTTCACACTTTAGAAATGCGTAAAATTGATGCAGTGCGCCCAAACATGACTTCACTGTCCCAGGCTGGCGTGACTTCTCAAAAACTACTAACCACTTGTCGCGAAGAACAACTTTATCAAATAATTTGATTAACTTTCGATTTTCGGGATCGATGTAAGTTATAACAACTTGTACTTGCCTAGAGCACTGCTGAGCACAACGACTGTCCTTTCTCCCGCCATCTGGCCCTTGAAGCCATGACTCAAAGTGTTTAAAAATGGATTCAGATACATCATCCATGTTGGTTGAAACAGGATCATCATTAGAAAATAACTCCTCTTCACTTCCACCACTGAAATCACCGTTACCCTTTGGAGGGTCCTTGTAACCAGGACTCCCATTCAACTCCAATGATGATGATGCGCGACCCTGGTCCTGTATTGCAGTTCCCGTAATTGTAAAATCTTCATCGTCGTCATCATCTTGATAGTCTTCGTCATCGTCCCCTTCGTCTTCTGTATCATTTCAAAATATGGAAGGATGTTCTTTACCATTTGCTGTCTTGCCACAGACTTTATATTTCATCGCACTACTGCCGTTATCATTATCGTCCTCATCATCCCATTCGTCTTCTGAATCATTTCGAAATATGGAAGGATGTTCTTTAACATTTGCCTTCTTACCACATTCTTTCTTCTTGATTGCAGGAGTGGGGGTGCCAAATACCTCCTCATCACTTGAATAAACCTGATTATACAACCTCTCTTCCCGTTCGTTTTCCTTCTCCTTTTTAAGTTCCTTTCTCCACATTCTATATTCGTATGAAGAATCGGAGTCCTCAGACAGAGAATTGTCTGAAGAAATGACAATGGGGTCGTATTCGGTTGCCTTTTCTAGGAGTCTTTTATATTCTTTGCTCCCACAAATAGCTTTGTGTACATCGGTCAAGTGGTTATGGATCTTTATCACAACAGATTTATATTCATCGACAGGGCACATGTATTTCTTTTGTGTCTTATTATTTTCACGTTTCGATCGATTTTTCCGTAAACCAAATGTGCTTACCACGTTCAGCGCATCGTCCCTATTCCAGCCATGGGATAATCTCATATGTCGCGGAAGATGATAGACTTTGGATTTGCACGACGGAAATGGACATTTGTGCTTTACCCAAACGTATTTAGATCCAACTGTTGGTTGCTTTTTTACGCATTTTTTTTCCTTGCTCACCACCAGCCTCTTTTATTACCAGACAGAGTTCCATTATTGTTCGAAACAGAGCTCTTACATGTAATTGCCTCCACGGCATCTTTACTGCCTTGGATTCCTTCCATCATTGTTTCTTCATCAACTGCATCTTCTTTGTCATGGCCTTCTTCTACGATCGTTCTTTCCTCCACTGCATCTTCTCCACGTTGGCCTTCATCCATCGTTCCTACAATAAACAAAATACCAATTTATTCAATATAAAACACACAAAGAACAGATAATATGCAACTAATAGACAGCGGATTTCATATGATATACAATTATAGATTAATATCAGTCTAATAATATAAATGAATAACAACCAAAGTGCACAAAATTCTGTGTAGTACACTTATCTAGCTTAACTAGAACTGAAATTACATTCAGAAAACCGGTTAAAATCCCATAAAAATGTTTAAGACCAGTAAACAATAAGACGTCACCATAAACCACCCTGTAATTCAAGAACCACTGAACCCAATTACACCAAACTCTGGAAACAAATAAGCCATACATAGCAAAGGGTGAGCCAAGTTAAACAAATACATTCTTTACAGTATTTAGGCTTTGGCGCCTGTTTAAACAAGTTACTTTACAGTTTAAATACTATCAATTTGGGTTTATGTTAAACTCTACCACCAGAGAGAGCGAACATAGATAAGTCGTTTCCTGTATGTTGCACTGCTGTAGCTTAAATAGAACTAAAATTACAATCCGAAAATCGGTTAAAATCCCATAAAAATGTTTAAGACCAGTAAACAATAAGACGTCACCTTAAACCACCCTGTAATTCAAGAACCACCGACCCCAATTACACCAAACTCTGGAAAAATTTTAGGCATACATAGCAAAGGGTGCGTCAAGTTAAACGAATACATTCTTTACAGTATTTAGGCTTTGGCGCCTGTTTAAACAAGTTACTTTACAGTTTAAATACTATCAATTTGGGGTTTTTCTCTGAAAAACAAAACAAAGCCTCCTTAACTTAGCAATGCATGGTTGTACACATGTTAAACTCTACCACCAGAGAGAGCGAACATAGATAAGTCGTTTCCTGTATGTTGCACTACTGTAGCTTAAATAGAACTAAAATTACATTCCGAAAATCGGTTAAAATCCCATAAAAATGTTTAAGACCAGTAAACAATACGTCACCTTAAACCACCCTGTAATTCAAGAACCACTGACCCCAATTACACCAAACTCTGGAAAAATTTTAGGCATACATAGCAAAGGGTGCGTCAAGTTAAACGAATACATTCTTCACAGTATTTAGGCTTTAATTGGCACCTGTTTAAACATGTTACTTTACAGTTTAAATACTATCAATTTGTTTTTTTTTCTCTGAAAAACAACACAAAGCCCCCTTAACTTAGCAATGCATGGTTGTACACATGTTAAACTCTACCGCCAGAGAGAGCGAACATAGATAAGTCGTTTCCTGTATGTTGCACTGCTGTAGCTTAAATAGAACTAAAATTACAATGCGAAAATCGGTTAAAATCCCATAAAAATGTTTAAGACCAGTAAACAATAAGACGTCACCTTAAACCACCCTGTAATTCAAGAACCACCGACCCCAATTACACCAAACTCTGGAAAAATTTTAGGCATACATAGCAAAGGGTGCGTCAAGTTAAACGAGTACATTCTTTACAGTATTTAGTCTTGGGCGCCTGTTTAATATAAACAAGCTACTTTACAGTATAAATACCATCAATTTGTTTTTTTTCAGTTTCAATTTGGGTTTTTTCAACTCTACCAGTAAAGAGAGCGATCATAGATAAGTCGTTTGCTGTATGTTGTACTCCTGTAGCTTAACTAGAACCGAAATTACGTCCAGAAAACCGGTTAAAATCCCATAAAAATGTTTAAGACCAGTAAACAATAAGACGTTACCCTAAACCACCCTGTAATTCATGACCCCATTTACACCAAACTCTAGAAACACTACAGGCATACACAGCAAATGGTGCTTCAAGCTAAATTATACACTTTTTACAGTATTTAGGCTTTGGCACCTGTTCAAACAAGCTACTTTACAGTATAAATACTATATCAATTTGGGGTTTTTTCTCTGAAAAACAACACAAAGCCCCCTTAACATAGCAATGCATCGTGGTTTACATGGTAAACTCTACCAACAGAGAGAGAGTGAACATAGACAAGTCGTTTGCTGTATGCTGTACTACTAGGGCCGGTTGTATGAAAGGTGGATAAGTTATCCAGTGGATAAGTCCTATCCAATGGATAGCTATCTGCCGAATAAAAATGCGTTGTACGAAGCACGGATAGCAGGGTGGATAGCTATCCATTGGATAACCTTAATTTTAACCGGAGAAAACCGGATTTTCCTGAAATTTCTTATCTCTACGCCAGCTGTTGCTAGGTATTTGTAAACTTTTGTTGTAGTATAACTTGTGAATTCCGCTAACCTTTGAACTATCAACTTGCAATAAAGGTTTTTTGTTCATGTTTATATTTTGGAGTTTTTCTCGTCTAATCGTTGCAATACTTCGTTTTCCCACAGTGAAGAGTTTGCTATCTACTTATCGATATTTATTTAAAAGATTTTTGGCTTCTTTATGCGAAGGCAATAGCAAAGACTGCGAGTTTTGTTTTCTTGTTTCAGTACGTTGATTCAGTTTTATTTTATTTCACGTCATTCAAAACAATTTTAAGAACATTTTCTCGCAAAATTTGATTGGCTGATCAAGGCCAGCAAACAAAATTTTTCGACTTTCGGTGCCTTGTTGTCTATTTATATGCAGCTATATTTGTTTGGCGTTGAAAGGAACTCATTTAATGAAAGTTTTATTGCTTGTTTTCAAGCTATATAACAGAAAAAAAAGAAGGAAAAAGGCCAGAAAACGTAACATCTAAGCACTGACACAGGTCTGCATAAAATATGGCAAAGTCATGGCATTATTTAATGGGCAAGTGACTCAAAGTGAGCTCGGTACGTCTGAGAAGAGCAAGAGAACTCATAAGTAAGTTTCCATGTTTATTTAGTGTCAAAAAAAGGACTCCTAAACAGTAGTTGTCCATTTCTATCACAATGGCAATCTCTTTTAAATGAAATACACATTGTTTTGTCTTCAAACTTTGAGTTTATCCGCCGGATAGTGGATTTAAACTACCTCCGGACCTCGGATAAATTTATCCAATGGATAGTACATTTTATCTGTTGGATAGCGCTATCCAAGCTTCGTACAACGCGATTTTCACTCCGGATAAAATTTATCCACTGGATAGGGACTTATCCACCGGATAGCGATTTATCCGCCTTTCGTACAACCGGCCCCTGTAACTTAACTCAATTCGATCCGCCAATATTAATTTCCGACGTATATGACGGGAAGATTAAATATTAAAGAACTTCGCGAGTATTTGCAGTAGTCATACGAAAATACCACCAAAAAATTCTGCTTGATCGATACTATATATTCAGAAATATTCATATAATTTTATTGTTTCTCGCTCAATTTCAAGCGAATTTCTTACCTTGAAATGATCAATGCGGTGAAATTTCTGCAAATGACACATTATCAATTTTGCTGTTGCATTTTGAATGTTCTGCCTGATTCAAATGCTCGTCTTTTTGCTTCTTTTCAACGTATAATAATAACAAATATACCAAAAGAATCGCCATCTTCCATTCTATAGCTCGGAGCAGTCTCGGGAAATTGCGAAATAATCTAAGCCTATTATGGCAATTCTCGTGATCGGAAAGTGTTCGGCCAACTTCGGACGCCAAATTCTTGGTAAAGCATTACAGTTTCCTGGTAAAAGACTGCAGGAATCACTTCCGGAGTGTTTGTTTACCCTAGATACGGATTTTGATTGGCTTAGGCAGAAAAACAAATCTTTTAGAGCAATTTTCCTGATTATCACGCACGGGCGTTGAAATGTATTGTGTTGTAGTTTTGTTTGAATCGCATTCTGAAGACGTTTTTGGCTTTATTTTGCAAACTGATAGTGCTAGTAATGATGGAATGTCTTCGTATGAAGACAAGTATCTCAACCTGGCATTGGGAGTCGTGTCTGGAGTTTCAAGGCAAGTATTTGTATCATTTCTAGACAATTTCTATTTCAATGTTTTGCCGTTGCCATGGCGTTGTAAATTTATTTGTATTTAGTATAGCTTCACTAGTACGACCAAGTATGTCCTCATATCGCTTTTTTGTGTTGAAATAATCGTTTCATACTGAAATTGACAAATATAAATGGTATTTATTTATATTGTTGACGAAAATTTATGGTGTTTTAGGCATAAAAATCTCTGATTCCTAGGTGAAGTAAAATGAGCCTTGAGCACATGTTTGGTTGTTTGTTACATACATAATAGCCAAGTATTCATACTTATATCTTACTAGTTGGCTCTTAATATAATTTTAAGTGGCACCATGTCTATAAAAAATTTTATTTGCACTGATGAATATATTGATCCTGTTCCTATCTGCTGTTCCTGTTTCATAGCCTCAGGGAAGTAGAGTTCTGATGAGTCATGAGAACCCCACTCACCAACCCAGAGGGAAGGTAGGGGGATGAGTAGAGGTAGAGGGAAGCCCAGCCATTAGGACCTAAGGTTTCGAAAGCTCCCTGTCTAGCATCCCCACTAGGCCCCATAGTACATGACGGATATGATGATCCTGACGCCAGGAATGTTCTCCCAGATTTTGCTCCTCACTGACATGTCCGGGATCCATTTCGATCAACTGTGAGCTTGAGTTCATTCGGCTCAATGAACTGTGAGCCTGAGTTCATTCGACTCTACAGTATTGTGATGACTGGGGGGAAATTCAAACTTATCAGTCATTCATTCAGTCAGTCATACAGTAAACTTTCCGGGGGGTGTATACGATATATGTTCGTAGTGATTTATCGTACTTAGTCAGTGCTTTGAAGGTTATTTAGGCAATTTCAGTTAACTTATTTACATATCCTGTTATCCTTTTGCCAAGTTCACAAAAATATTGAGGAATCGCTTTCGTTATTGTAATTTTTTGTAAATTTTAGAACATTCGCTTGTCATGTTGTGTAAAGGATCTTTACCCCGGAACACCCGATTTTTTCTTTAGTAGCGCAAATGCGCATGCGCTATCAAGCCGTAGATCACGATGGTGTGACGATATGCAAGGAAGGAGTGACAGTGTAGTTTTCAGATGTATAAACATTTCAGACGTGAAAACTGAGTAAATCTTTGAAAATCTACGCAAAATATAAATTGATCTTATGCATTACGGGCGTTCAATTAAGTTCCGATAATATTTAGACGGCATATTCATTATACAGAGCTAGGAAGGAGTTAGACCGCCTAGACAGTGCAGTCAAGTGTATAAACATTTCAGACGTAAATATTGTTATATTGAGTCGAAAATCTTTGAGATTCTAGGCATTCAATTGAGTGCCGATATTATTTTCACGGCATACTCATTATACAGAGGTACAGTACGTAGGCAGAAGCGAGACAGTGTTGTTTTCAAGTATATAAACATTTCAGACATGAATATTGAGAAAATCTTTGAGATTCTACGCAATAATACAATATATAAATTTCTGTTATGCATTACCGGCATCAATTAATATGTAAGTGCCCATCGATATTATTTAGACTGTGTATTCAGTATACATTGTCATTGACTGTATAAGGTGCTACATCACAGAATAGATGGCTACACTCAGTACAAAGAGCGAAAAATTGCATCAGATCTGTACCAGATCAATAAAGCATAAACAACTATTAAACGGGTAAATGTTTGTACGGCGTTTACGAGGAAAATAACTTGCGAGACTAAAGAAATCAGTTGAGTCTGAGCTCCTTATTTAAATAAGAAAGACGAGGAGATAGCCATTGTGTTATTGCCAACGTGTTATCGCCAATCGCTTTGCTCGCCAACAAGCTTTATGCAAGGAGGTACATGTAGCCAACGTGTACTGTCACGGACCTTGTCTTTGTTTACTGTCTAGCACAACGCCGTTGTCAACGGTGCAAACTCGTGTTCAGTGCAACGATAACTCTACCAGATCTTACGAGAATCAATCTGTAGTATTCTGTACACAGAACTGTATCAAAGCTTGTCAAAAATGCTTTAAACACTGCTATAACTGTGAAACTATTGAAATCTAAAGTGATATTTATATTCAACACATGCGAAAAGCTGAAAATAGACACACGTCACACTGGGAAAAGTCAAAGGTCAATGAAACTTGTTATTGTGAAACATATCACAATTAAAATAACAACATAAAACACTCACTGAGTTTCCAGCGATATACATACCCTTTTCTACATATATCCCTAATAATAATAAACGAACGAACGAATGTATTTCTTCCACTCGTGAGCTCATTTACCATTGTCACATATGGTAAATGGCCAGGCCTTGTGACCCTGGATGGGCACTTAACAGGAAAGAATACACACACACAAAGGTTTATTTATTCAACCATTACAAGAGAACGATTGAACAACTGAAACCAATGGTTTCACTTTTAACCAATTTCATTGTTATGTCACAATTAAGTTAAAATGCGGAAGCGGATGGAGCGGATCCACGGAACGGATATGCGGGTAAAATACGGAACGGATGAGGATAAAATGCGTCTTTTAATGATGTAACGACGTAGTGCTTATTATTCATAACATATCTTATACAGCTATTTCAATTATAGTTTATTAGATAAATTTAGCATAGCAGTAGCCTCGTGGGGATGCTTTTAGCGACAACTGCAAATGCAAATGAAAATTTAGAATATGCAAAATTTGGTTGTTGGTGAAACAATTTAAATTTCGAATTGTCGCGTGTAGCATCACAATAAATAGATAAATAGCATCAGTTTCACAAGGCACGTTTCTGATGTGTTAGGCTTGTTTCAAACGTCACGCTACTCGTGTGCCGAGCGTATTAAAAGCAATAAATAATGAGATGAAATGCCTTTGGTAACTGTTTATTTCGTAGTGTAAACCATCAAGCTTTTCTAGGTTGTCGGCGACCCTATATAGTTCTTGCAGTGTCTTTTTAAATTTGAAACTTCACACTATCCTTGGATCCCTAGTTGTGGGTTACTAGCACTGGCAGATTGCTCGTCTTCTGACATATCTAATGCTGCATCAACATCATCACACTGCTCTACTTGCTGTGTTCCACTTTCAAACAACTGTTCTTCAGGAGGATTATTCACTGGTCGAGGACCTGTTATTAATTATAAACAAAAGAACTTTTTTGGTCATTGGTGCATAAAATGCTTTGTCTGTCGGAAAGAAATTAATTTAATATTTAGTGATCATCAACAATGGAAACATTGTCAATGAATTACGACATGTGAAAACCAAGCTTTGTGCCATTTCTGAGAATTTGACTTTAAAATGTTTACTCTGAATTTGTGCTTTATTAACTACTTTAATTAAACGATCTATACAAACTGTGCCAAACTTTACACAATACATCACAAACTCTAGATTGGTTGTGAAATTTTCAAATTTTACTGAACTTTCAAATTGATTGACCCAACCTTTTCTGGGAAGAAATTATTTCGCTAAATTCAGAATGATATTTCGTCAAAAATTTTTTCTTCAAGATTGGTTTAGAAACAAACTTGGAGTAGGGTTAGGTTAAGGTTAGGTCAAGGATTTGGATTAGGGTTTATATAGGGTTAGAGTTTGTGTTTGGAATAGGGTTAGTGTTAGTAAAACCGTTGCTTTCTTACGTTTTGTCACTCTGAGGCCAGCGAAATAACCTCTTTCCCTTTTCTGTCCTAAAGTTATCATGCAAACATGTAGAAAATGAGCAGCATTTGGCATTAAATTTATTTAAGTTTTATTTGAACAATTATTCATCAATATTTACCTAGAATCCTATCCAATTGCTCCCAAACTTTTAAAGCAGTTTTTTCTACACTTGATAGAGCACTCGAAAAGTACGGCCTCTCAGATCCAGACTGTTTCATACGATCTTTTAACTTGCTGTAACCACTTCTCAATTTCTTAATTTTCGTTTCTATTTGGGACGTTGTTCTGTCGATATTTGAGTGCTCTTTTAGTATCCTGCTAATTTCATCGTAAACAACCTTGTTAGTTGCCATTCCATCGATAGCTTCTTGAATTATTTGTTCTCCATACGCATCCAATAATGATTTTGTTTCTGCTTCTGTCCATCTGCTCCCTGAACCAGCCGCCATGTTGTTCATGTTGGGCACGGTGCCGTTGTTGAGTACTACCCCTGGAGGTAGTGCCCGTTTTCGGGCACCGTGCCCGAATTCTTTTGCGAGTATCGCGATCACACTGGTGCTCAAACAAGTGCCGTACCCGGGCACTAGTGCCGGGCACTCAGTCTGAACGACCCCTAAGGTACATAGCATACATCAGCAAAAATAAATAGTTTATACCTTTAGTAGAAGCACTTGAAATCCAGCTTTAAAATCAACTGACATTAACGGCGACGCGGCGGAGGAGGGAAAAGGAGACAAGGTTGGCGACATCCATTGGCCAAGCTGCACGTATCATCATAAACAAACCCGTCTAACTCAACAATACGGAAAGCTTAGCCGAAAATTCTACAACAGCTGATAAAACAGCTATTTTGCTTTCCAACAATGTAGTCCTTTCAAAATTTGAAAGTTTCCCTTTGCAGAAATTTCACTTCAAACCACTGCCTCCACACAAAATTTACGATGTGACTAGGCGCAAGGTAAACAAGGTTCACAAACGGTAAATTTTAAATTTAAATCTCGCGCCTAATTGGATAATCAAGTGACGTCTAGTAAAGTCAATTACGCTTATCCAATTTACACTCAGGCTTTACACTCATGACAAAACAGGGACTTGACGCAGTAATCTAGGACCTCGCCAGTGTCTACAGATATAACAAAAGTAACACCAATTCTTGATGAATGTCCTCTTTTTTGCCATGGTCCATCAATTGTAACCAACACATTTGCGACAACAGTAGTTCCATCATCTCCAATGTCATCCGGGCTTTCCATTGCGACTTTGTCAACCAGTCGCTTTGCTGCATCCTTCATCAACGTTTCAGCATTGTCTACCGCAATGGTTTTTATTTGTATTTGGTGGTCATTATAAGCCTTCTTTGTTACAGGAGGTGGCAAATTCATTCCAGCACAAAATTGTGTGAGTCCGGCATGACCCAATTGAGGAGCTGCTAGAACTGCTCTGCGATTCACTTCCTGGGCTCCATCTCCCCTACCACCCAAACACTTGCTAGTCAAGAGAGGGGTCTGTGCCTCACATTTTGAACACTCTAAGTATAAGTGTTCTGCACGGCCCTCTCTCAACCTGTTGTTTTGAAAGAGTTGTAGTTTGGATTTGGGATCTCTACAAGCACTACAAATTGCTGCACTAGAGATACATTCTTTTAGCAGAGATGCGTCTTGCAACTTGAACCCAGAAGCACTCTCAGTGTGACATGTAGACCCAAGGCCAAGAGTTTTGGTTTTTGTGCGGGTTAAAACTGCTTTGTCAGACTCAAGCTTCTCAAAAGACGAATTGAGCAGCTTTTTCTGCGATATATTTGCCTTAGATTGGGGCGAAACTTGGCTGTTTGCTTCCAAAACCTCGGCAACATTTGACACGCTGGTAGACGGATGTCGGCCATCAGTAAAACCACTCGCACTTTCGCTCGATCTTTCACCTATTTCGTCGGTTCTCAGCCCACAAAACCCTTTTCTTTTTCTTCTTCTGATCGATCTAAACTTCGTAGTACTTTTTTCAGCCATTTAGACTTCTCAATAATGTAATAAAAGCTTTTCAAATTGACCGAACTAGATGTTTACCTTCGCGATTTGGCTAGCCTGCGTAACGGCTCTCAGAGAAAGTAGAGCCTGCACGAACCCCCCTGCTTTGCCGTATTTACTCGTTCTCTCAGAGGACGAGAAATCTGATTGGTTCAAAATGAAAAAAATATGCTAATTTATGCTAAAATTGATACAAACACGGCGGATGTATTGAGAGGCGTTTCTTTGAGTTTTGCATTCAAAAGAACTTAAAGGCCACGATTTACGGTTGAACATTAAAGTTATTTACGAACTTGGTTCACGAAGCTCTAGAGATATTGACTGTGGTGTCTTCGTTGGATTGCTGTCTGTTAGCAGCGCCTCTTTCACAACTCACGAGCGTGTTCGTTTTCATAAATTCATCGACGACAAATAGATTTTTCTTCATGATTTTGTAGCTAATAATTTTGTGCCAGGAGAGAATTGCTATAAATGCTTATGTCTTATGAATAGGACTTGCTCTCTGTGAAGTGATGGCTTTAAACACCTTTAATATTCTCTTATCAGCATCGCTCGAAACTTTAACATTTAATACATCACGGTTGACCGCTGTCGAAACTATAAATTATATTTGTATGTGTGCGAGAAAGCTACGAAATATTGTAGATATGTACGGACTGCAAACTACTTGTGACAACGATGGAGATTGCCCTAGGCCTAGCGCTATTCCCACAGACTTCAATTTTCTTTAGCCGCCATCCGTATATTACAGTATTTCGTTTTGAAATTTGCGAACATACAGCAATCTATATTTATATTTCATTTTGATGGGTAAATTTGCAAACGTAAACAATCTGTGTGATTTGCCAATTTTGACATCTGTTTAAAGTGGGCGTAGTCCGCAGGCTAAGTGGGCGGAAATGGCAAAGCAGGGCAGGGGGTTTCGTGCAGGCCCTACTTTCTCTGAGAGCCGTTACGCAGGCTACGATTTGGCACTCTGTCACATGTATTCACAACAAACCGCGTCATAATTGCTTTCGGGGGCATGGGACGAGCATGATTCAATGTTCATTGAAAAGGGGGGGGGGGTTCTTGTCCTAGAAGAGAGGGGTTCGAAATATTACTACAAAATCGAAGAGGAAAAACCCCATAGCAACCAAAGTAAATAATTAAAAACAAATGGTAACTATGCACGAAAATTACACCAACGTCTATATTATCGCAAATTTTGGCCAAAATAGTTACATAAAATAAAAAATTACTTGACAGGGCAAAAGAGTGATAAGTTTCGCAACTCATCGAAATAAAATTTTTTAAGAAAAAAAAATTTTAACTGTGGCCACTGACTAAATGGAAGGGGTAAACATATGTTGCATTGAATTTGCATGTTAATTACAGTTATTACTTTTAGGACGGTTGCTTTCCAATATTGCTACGGCAAAGAATTGAAATTAAATTTTACAGTTATGATGAATTTTCATTCATCCACATTCCTTCACTCATGGAATGACTTCTGTCTCCTTTTAATGCTCTGTGCATGTTTTACTAACATATTACTGTAAAGTATAGTCACAGGGAAGTGCCGACCAATGTCTTGGGGGGGGGGGGGCTCAAAAGTTTTGGCCACCTTCCTTTTAAAAATTTCCGGTAACGTTTTCCTGTAAAAGTAAAAGGTCCCAAAAAATTTGACCCGGTTAAAAATGTTTTTCAGAATTTTGCGACTTCAATTTTTTTCACAATATTCCTTACAATTTAAACATTCCAGAATTTGGGGGCCCCTCTGGGAAGATTGGGCCCCCTTCCTTGACTTTTTTTTGGAGGGTTACACCTCCATTCAGGACGGCGCTGAGTATAGTATATTCTTGTTCATATTCCTTTACACTGTATTTCCTTTTGAGCAACTCCATAACAATCTGCAATATGTGCATCAGAGATAATAAAATTAAAATGATAAGTAGTTTGAGATCATCATAATCCAGGTCTATGTGATTTTGTCTGACTCATCTTGTCGATATGTGTATGCTTGTCATCAAGTGAAAATCATATTTCAGAAAATATATGAGAAGTGGGATTAAGTACAAAAAAATGTGTATGCAGTTTCTCACAGGATAGAAAATTCAACAATTACATAAAACAAACAAATTGCAATATAATATCCAATAAAATTAACATGAATTTGAACAAAATACTACCAGTTTGTTTCAATATTAAATGTTGTACTTTTAAAGAAACTTTTCAAATATAAAAAGTTGTTGTCAAAACAATATAATTATAAAGTGTTTAAATCACTTTTTTCGAAATTACGAATGTCTCGTTGATTTGGGTTATGCTGTTGGAACCATTGGTTGTGTGATGGGATGAAACCATACTGCTGCTGAGGCTGTATTTGATGTGCAGCACTCCCTGTTGGTATTTGCTGTTGCACATGCAGTTTCATGTCATTAACTGTCTTCAAAATATTCAATTGAAGAGTAGACTTTAATGTGGTTGGAATTCGCTTAAACTTTGGAACTAAGCTTAAGCAAAATAATGTATCTTCATCTTCATTGGTATTACTTTTCTCTAATAATAATAATTTATATACTAACCGTAAAATGCAAAAAGCAATTCTTATGTATAAAGTCACGAACAATTTAACACCTATGTATCTACAAGATTTGTTTGTAACTAGAGTAAGTCACTATAGAGATTCTGAAGGCAAACTGTTTCTCCCTAAACCTAGAACGGATTATCTTAAGCACTCGAGATCCTTTAGTTATAGTGGAGGAGCTTCATTATGGAATAGCTTGCCTGAATCTCTGAGATCATCTTCATCACTTTCATCTTTTAAAAGATCTTTAAAAACTAATAATGCTATTTAACTCTTGTCAGTGGATAACCCCCCCCCCCATATAGCGACGGAAGTGATTCAAGCGAATGACGTCAACAGGGGGTGTACGTCCAGGCGTTCGTACGTGGTACGTCCAAGCGTTCGTACTTAGTGTACGTCCAGTTTAGTAAGCATTATGTAATTTTTGGTGTTACTCTGAGTGTATATCCACACCGGGCGAGCTTGAAAAATATGCCCGGCCACGGTGGGATTCGAACCTACGACCTTTGGAATACTAGCCCAATGCTCTTCCAACTGAGCTACGCGGTCAGGACAGTTCGAGTAAGTGATATTTCGGAACAGAATCTAGTTCCTTCGATACCAATGTATTCTAGTAATATGAATTTTTTCTGTGTTGGTGTAGTGTACTCAGATGAATATGATATTTGTGGTGTTACTCTGAGTGTATATCCACACCGGGCGAGCTTGAAAAATATACCCGCCACGGTGGGATTCGAACCTACGACCTTTGGAATACTAGCCCAATGCTCTTCCAACTGAGCTACGCGGTCAGGACGGTTCGAGTAACTGATATTTCGGAACAGAATCTAGTTCCTTCGATACCAATGTATTCTAGTAATATGAATTTTTTTCTGTGTTAGTGTAGTGTACTCAGGTGAATATGATATTTGTGGTGTTACTCTGAGTGTATATCCACACCGGGCGAGCTTGAAAAATATGCCCGGCCACGGTGGGATTCGAACCTACGACCTTTGGAATACTAGCCCAGTAGCTCAGTTACTCGAATCGTCCTGACCGCGTAGCTCAGTTGGAAGAGCATGCATGAATATGCATGTATTCAAGTATGCATAAATCAACTCCTTAATCCCTTCACCACTTTTTCGGACGAAAAGCAACAAAAAATTCGTCGAAATAAGCAAATTTTCAGGCAAAATATTAGCAAATATATCGTATTCACTCATATTGGCCGCGCTCGTGAACGCCACAGGGGGTATGGGTCCAATAGCTTATGGATCGACCAATCAGGATCGTTTTTCAATCCCGTGTGGCCAGAGCCACTCAACGATGGCTCTGGGTACGAGATTGGCTTTGCGCGCGTTGTAAGAAAATTAGGCACCAGTCTGTCAAACTGCGCTCGTCGTGAGAATTTTTGGTGGTATTCATGGCATGGTGTTTTGTCAAAAATGCTGTTTTGTCAAGAGACAAAATACCTACCTCCACAAAGTCCACAAAGACTATAAATATTTTTGTAAATATAATTTCAATGAACTGATGAAAAATTTAAAATTAACTAACTCAAACTGGGAAATTTTGACCAGTTAAATAAATACATTTACCCTTTCTAAATTCTCACAACTTTCTATTTGAATAGGAAATAAATAGCTTTTAAGATCTAATTATTTTGCTATTTCAGTGCCTTTTTTAACTATATATCTGGGGGGGGGGGCAATTTCCCCCCAGGGAAAGAATGCTCCCCCCCCCCCAGTAAAGCCATTTCTGCCCCCGAAGTGCGAAGCAGAATTGCTCATGATTGCTGTCAGAATTGCAGTTGATTTACTTGATAATGAGATTATGCCCTTCCATAGCCTCCTCCACAGCTATCTTGTGTGTAATTCATATTGTTCTTCACCGAGTATTTCATAACAGCGATAGATTTCATGCAAACAATCCGATAAAATGCTGGTTCCAAGAAGAATAGATTTAGTTTAGATTTTTTACTGTTAAATACACGTATTCATCATCATAGCACGAATGTTTCTTCTCAGATTTATTCTGTATCTGATGAAAAAGCAACGCAATTTTGAGAATGCGGAAATGGTGTCTCATAGAACCGAAAATGATTTAAATGCAACATTTCTGATCAAAATCACATAGGGATTCCCCCCCCCCCTAGCATCACAGAGAGGAAATAAGGTGACACTGACCCCTCCTCCTAGTCTCCTCAAGGTGACTTTTCCAATTTATTTAATTCCGAGTAGAAATGTCTGGAAAAATTCATGTCTTCGATGTACTTTATAATCTTCGGAACTCTTCGGAATTTCACTCCCAAAATGCTTGAAATCGCTTGCAATTCAAGGACCCTAGATTTGAAAATTTCCCCGGGGGTGCATGCCCCCGGACCCTCCTAGACTGTTCGACCCCCCCCCCAAAAAAAATAAAAAAATTAAGGTCTGGCTACGACACTGGTTATAGCTGTACGATTATAGCTACAAAGGATTGAAGTTATTGTCTATATAGGAGAAGTTAATAAATTCAAGTTTTACAAAATCTCTCTTCAGACTCGCGTGTTCGCCAAACTTCGATGGGTCATATTTTTTGTTCTGCCTTTTTTCCTGTTTTGCCCCCCCCCCCCGCCCTAGTAAAAATTCATTAAAAAAGGCACTGTGCTATTTATTAGCTATTTTAACAATAGCTCTAAAAATAAAAGTAAACATAGTGTAAAAATAGCTATTTAATAGCCATTTTGACCAAAATTCGCTACAACTTTCTATGAATAGGAATTAAATAGCTATTTAAGATGTACTTGTTTTGCTATTTTATAACTATTCTAAGAATGGCTCTAAAAATTAAAAAAATAAAAGAAAACATAGTTTAAAAATAGCTATTTAATAGCTATTTGGAACAAAGTTCACCACAACTTTCTATGAATAGGAATTAAATAGCTATTTAAGATCTATTTATTTTCCTATTTAATAACTATTTTAACAATACTCAATAATATCTCCAAAAATAAAAGCAAACATAGTTTAAAAATAGCTATTTTATAGCTATTTTGAACAAAGTTTGGCACAATTTTCTATGAATAGGAATCAAATAGCTATTTAAGACCTATGGCTCCAAAGAAGATATGCAAAAATAGTTTAAAAATAGCTATTTAAACTATTTTAACTGACTCGTTTGTCATCAATAGGAATTAAATAGCTATTTAAAAGCTATTTTATAGTGAGATTCCGTCAATTACTCTTTCAAATAGGATTTGAATATCTATTTCAAAGCTATTTTTTTGAAAAATATATATAACCTATATTTTAAATAGGCCGTAAATAGTCATATACTATTTTATGAAATTTGATAAATAGTAATAAAATAGACATATTTTGGAAAAAATACGGAAAAAATAGGGCTAAATAGAGAAAAAATAGGTATAAAATAGGTTATAAATATGTCGGATTCTACAAGGGCAGAAGGAACTGGAAAATATTTATATGGAGCGTCTCGTGCGGATGAAACAACTAAAGAAAGATCCAGTTCATAAGAAGATTATGCACACAAAAGATTCACTTGTGCAAAACGATGATTTTGATCCAGAAGAAGCGTTAGAAGCAGCTGTTGATATGAGAAAGTTTCTTATAAAAAGGCTTTTAAAGGGTCACAAATTTGATGAGGAGAATGATGATGATGATGAAGAGAATGATGATTAGACTCGATTAATA